AGCAGGGACCGGCTGTCTGGGTGTCAGAGGCTCTTTGGCCCCGTGCTGGCATCAGCCTGGGGCTGGTGGGAAGGGTGCTCCCTGTCCTGCCTCGTGCACCCTGTGACTCTTCTCTTGGACTCTGCTCCCCTTCTGAGGGGCTGTGTGTCTGAGCATCCTGGTATTAGAGGATTTATCTCCTGTTGGAAGCTGTGCCAGGAGCTTCAAGAAAAATCCCTGGTCTGGGGACCTGCGGGGTGAAAGCGAGAGCTGGAAGGTGATTTAAAGTGTTTGCACAAGGATTGATGCCACAAGCCAGGTCTCAGCCTGATCTTTGCTTTAGGGAGGGGTGACAGCCAAGTTTGTGTCCGTCAGGGCTGAGCAGGATTGTTAGAAGCCCTCGGGTTTAGTGCTGGGATTTACAGCGTGAGGACAAGCCTTGGCTCAGTTTGGGGCCATGTCCCCTTCCTTCATGCCTGCTGGGGCACCTGGGCATTTGTTAAGGAATTTGGGAACCCCAGAGTGGGATGCATTTGTGTACCTCTGAAAAGGCAGTTTGGGGTTGGTGATGAATAAAGCAGTACCAGGGGAAATATTCTGTGTGGCTGTCACCATCCACATCCGTGGGCTGTCCAACCCATGCTGTAGGCCAGACATTTCCAGTTGCTTTGTGGACACAGTAGGAAGCTCCTGCCTCCCTCTGCACCACCACTAACCTCTCCTCTCCTCTCCACAGCTCTCCCTGAAATGCCGAGCTCCCGAAGTGTCCCAGTACATCTACCAGGCCTACGATGCCATCTTGAAAAACTAACAGGAGATCCAGCCTGTGCCTCACCCTGCGGAAGGAGGGGGGGGAAAAAGGGGTCCCCAAATCCTCCTTCACCGCTAGCGCGGGGGAAAAGCACTCCTAACTGGAAGCAGCTGTATTCATGTGTAGGATTTCAGTCAAAGGCACTGATTAAACAAGGTAGCAATTAGTATCCACGTGCTAACGATGATAGGGAACAAACCCCTTTGGTATTTTTAGCGTCCATGGAGTTTGTAACCACTGCTTCGACTACTCCCGTGTCCCCCTCGCCCCTCACTCATCCGTTCTCGTGGGCTTCTCCATTTTGTGCCAATGTTCAGTGTTTTCTAAATGGCTTTAGGTGTAGTTTCGATTTTGTAAAATACCGCTCATTGGGAAAAAAAAAAAGGAAAAAAAAAACCAACAAGCAAAAAAACCACACGTCCGCTCATTAAAACAAGGCAAAAGTGTCGAAAACATAACACTGCACTTTATTTTATATTTTTATACATTTTTTTGAGTTTTTCTATTGTAATTGGCTCAAAGGGAAGGTGATTCCAAGGAAGTACTGGGAGCCCTGCAGGGAGGTCGGGCTCGAGCAGGGGAACTAGGAACAGAGCCATCAGTTCGGTCCAGGAGGCGGATGGAGCCCTAAAGAGGGGTTTTTATTACACTTGTGCTGGCAGATTCGGTGCTGCTTTGATGGTGTGTTTTCACTCCAGCCATCTCCCTGGCTCAGTAGCTGCTGATTTGAGGAGTGAGGCTGCTTTTGCGTGGGGAGGAGCTGCAGGCCTAGATCAGTGGCAGGGCAGCAGTGGATGAAATGAAGGAAACGAGCCCATTCTTAGATCAAAAGGCTCGTGCCAGAGCTCCATGTGTGGTCTCTGCATCCTCACCCATCTGCAGCCCCTCTTTTCCTGTTCTTTCCGTGCCTGCTGTGGCTGAACTGCCTTCTCGACCATCCCTCCGAGCTGTGCCCCCTTCCCCCAGCGCTGTGCTGGCCCTGGCAGTCCCCGAGGCTCCTGGTACATCCAGATGTGGCAGTGCCACTTCCCTGACAGGTCTGCCGGTGTCAGCTGTGCCCCTGTGGAGAGGGGCCACTGCTGGCAGTGTCCCAGGGTGCCAGGGGAGTGGAGAGGCTCTCCCTGTTCCCGTGTTGTCCCACAGAACCCAGGCAGGGGCGTGATGGGAGATGGTTTGGGCTTGGCCGTGTTTGCTCCTTGCCGGGCTGGGGGCCTTCAGTTTCCAGCCGGGCTGAGTTGAGCAGATCATGGAGCGTCTCTCCCATTTGCAGCTCAGCATTTTGTGCCCAGAGGAACACGGTGACAAGGGCCAGCCAAGTTCCTGCTCCCACCCCCCTGCCCTGAGCAGCTCCATGCCCTGGCCCCTCTTTTCTGACCTGCCCCTAGGGCCAGGACTGCTTCCCGTCCTGTCCATGGCTGTGGACTCACCCCATTGCAACCACTAAGTGCTGCAACAACAGCAGTGAAAGCAAAGCCTCTTGCATGTCCCTGCTCCATCCATAGCTTGTCCTGCCTAATCCAAGCCCCTATCCAGAACGGCTTCGCCCCCCCCAGCATGCTTGGACACCATTTCCTCCCCTGCTAACAAAGCTCTTGCGTGTAGCAACCCCCATGTCGTCCTTTTAGATGCCACTTTCAAAGTCAGTAAATGTTTTACGGTGGGAGATCGTTCATCAGGGCTTTGGCACTGTCTGCAGCCAAGAAAGCAGTGCTGGGAAAAGGTCATAATGCTCTGGGAGAGAGTCCAGCAGGGCCCAGGAGCTGCAGGACCTGAGGAAAGTGGTGTCCCTGTGTAGGAATCCCTGTACCCTGGCTGGGGAAGAAGTGGGGCAGAGCTGGAGCCATCCAGCCCTTGAGCATGTGCTGGGAGATGATTTGCTCCGAGCCCTGTGGGTGCACTGCAGAAATCATTAACGGAGCAATTAAGGAAACACCAGTGGCCCTGAGCGCGATGCTGTGTCGGGGCAGGGAGGAGAGTGTAGCTTCGACGTGGGGAGGGGATGCTGAGCACCCCCTTCTCTTGCCAGATTTCTTCCCAGCTTCCCGGGCGTGCAGGTGTCTGTGCCGCAGGGCAGAGCCTGGGCTCCTGGGTGACATCCCGCCCTCCTCTCCTGCCGCTCCGCTCGCTCCAGTGTTGGCCGCGTCGTTGTGTTGCTCTCCAGGCTTTTCCTGCCGTCCGTGTCAATAAACTCATTTCCACGACGCTGTGGCTGCGTGTGGCTCTGTGGGGCTGGGGAGAGGGGCTGCTCCCCCTGATGTGGGCCCTGCCCGTGGGAGCAGCAGGGCTGAAGGCTGGGTTTGGTGGGAAGGAGGCGGTTTGCTCACCAGGAGCCTTTTGTCGTCTTTTTCCACCCCAAATTAGGGGCTTGCAGGGTGAGGAGGCAGCAAGTATCCTCAGTCTATGACTGCTGCTGTCTCCTCATCTCAAAGGGCAGTGAGGACAGGCTCAGACGAGGAGCAGAAGATGGATGTACCCATTTTACCCTTCTGGGGCCCCAGGTGGGCTGTGTTCAGTGACCTGTTTTCCCTGTGGCGAAACGATGAAACCCTGGGTCAGTGATGCATTTTGGATCACTTCGCTCTGGTGCTGTTGTTTTCCACAGGGCTTCGCCATTGCTGGTCCTGTCTCAAGCAGGATGGGTTTGGGCTGCAAAATCTGTGTACGAGGCCAGAGCCAAGCTCAGGTAACCCCAAACTCAGTACTTGAAGTGGCCAGAAATACAACACAACAAGCAGCGGGTTTGGGAGGTGTTGCTCTGGAGCAGAGCAACTGTTTTCCACGCTCTGAAGGGCAGGCACTGATCAACCCATGTTGCTCTGCACTGGGATGGTTTTATGTTAGAAGCAGGTGTATGTGCCGAGTAACAGCAGTGACAGGCTGGTTTGGGGTCACTGATCTTGCTGTTGTGTCCCTTCATGCATCCCTGGTGTGCCTGGGATGGGATCATCATTCCCCACTGTGGGTCACCTCCTGCCACGGTGCTGGTGATGAGCCTGGGACAGCATTTGGCCCAACAGGAGCAGAAGCTGCTGTGAGATGCTCAGGGCATGTCAGCTGCTGTCCCCTCACATCCTGTGGCAAAGGGAAAGGTTTCTCTCTCCTTCCCTGTTCTGCCAGGGGCTCCTCGTGAAGAAATGGGTCTTTCCTGCTGCTCTAGATTTGCAGCCACACTCAGTGCATGTGCTGAGGGCCAGCACCAGGTGACAACAGGTCCCTGAGCCCATGGTGAGGTGTGGGAAGAGGCTGGGACTCGGGTGAGGATTTTGGAGACTGTGTCTGAGGCTGGGGCTGACTGCAGCCCCCCAAGCCATCAGCTCTGCCTGTCCCCTGCTGCCACCTGCGTGCCAGGACACGAGAGCTCTTGGATGGATGATTTTAGATTTGCATCAGACTCCTGTCGCTGAGGCTGGGATAAGCCTCCCAACCAGCGGGGACGTGCCGGGATCCAGCCCCACACCCCTCCCCCTCCCTCGTATATTAAGTTTCACACATAAAACTGCAACCGAAGAGCATCTTAGAGGGAACTGCTAAAAATAACCCCGAGGCTGGAACCTGAATTGTGCGGGAGAGTTCGTGTGCAGCCTGATCCCTTCCCTCTCCCAAAAACATTCCACAGCTCAGGACTGCTTTATGGCGATGCGGGGAAGGGCAGCAGCATCTAGGGCTGGTAATAACCCCAGGGACACATAAATATTCCCCTAGCTGCGAGCATCAGGCAGCTCTGCAGGGAAACAGCTGGAGCGGGGTTTGGGGTGTGCTTCGAGGGGCAGAGAGGTGCAGGGAGCCCACCAGCAGCGTGTGCCGGGGGCCTGGACCACACTCCCGGAGGTGTGACCAGCACCTTCCCCTCTACCCAGCACGTTTCGTGCAGGGTGACCCAAAATGCAGACTCTGCAACATAAATATCCCTCCCTGGCACCATCCTGGGCTGAGAGTCCCCCCCCGGTGCCAGCGGGCACAGAGAAACCCCCGGGGGCTGGCACAGCGAGGAGGTGAAGTGATGTGCTCAAGAGCACAGCGGGCAGCGGTGTCAGGAGGGAAAAGGCTCCCTGGGAGGGGTCCTACCCTCCTTCTCCGAAGAAGTCTGGCCTGGGGGGCTCGTACAGGGTGGGCATGAGAGAGCAGATGCCGCTGGGCGCCGGGAAGGGAAGGGGTGACGGCGCTGCACCCAGCACACTGCAGGGGGGACATGGGAGGGTCTTTTCCCATCGGCACCTCCCCAGAGCTCCGGGAGAAGCCGGTGTCCCTCCTGGGCTCCTGCGGCTCGCTCTGGGCATTCCTTGCCTCCTTTCCCGGGCGCTGCCCCCTTCCCTACCTGGCCACTGCCTGTATCCCTCCCCGGGCATCCCCTGCATCTCTGCCTGGGCTGAGCGTTCTTCCCTCCGCGGGCGCTGCCTGCATCACTCCCGGGCATCCCTGCCTGCATCCCTGCCCGAGCTCTGCCTCCCTCCCTCCCTCCCTCCATCGCTCCCCAGGCGCTGCCCGCCTCCCGCGCGGGCATCCCCGCCATCCCACCGGGCGCTGCCTCCATCCCTGCCCGTGCAGCGCCTGCCCCCGCGCCGTGCCCCGGACGGGCTCCCCGCTCCCCGCCGCCGCCCCCCGGTCTCTCCGCGCCGGGCGGGGGCCGGGCCGGGCCGGGGCTCTGCAGCGGGGCCGCCCGCCCCGCGTCGGGCTCTCCGCATGGCTCCTCCGCCCGCCGGGGCGCCGCCGGCCCGGGCCACTGCTGCAAGGTACGGGGGGTCCGCCGGGAACGAGGGGACGGGGGGGGGCAAAGTTACCGCTGGGCAGAGCCGGGGGGGTCGCCGGGATGGGGGGATTGGGGGCTCCCCAGCGAAAGTTGAGAGCCGGCGCTCCCCGCTCCCCTCCGCCCCGCCGGCACGGGGGGCGCGGGTGTCCCTCCCCGGTGTTGCCCCCCACCCGGTACCCCCAGCCCCATCACGCCACCGCGGGCCGGGGATGCTGCCGGGGGTGCTGCGCTGCCCGCCGCGGCCAGAGTATCCCCGGGAGGGTCGAGGCGGGATGCGGGATGTGCGGGATGTGCGGGATGTGCGGGATGTGCGGGATGTGGGATGGTGGATCCAGGGTGCGGGGTGCTGCCGCCGCACCCTCCCCGCGGGGCTCAGGGCTTGCTCCTCCGAGTGCCCCCGGCGTCGCGGGGTGCCCAAGGTCGCATCGGGGGCCCCCATCCCGGGAGCCCCCTGCGAGCCCCCGCCCGGCCCTGCAGCCCACTGAGCCCGGCCTTGTGCTGAGCACCCGGGGCCCCCCGGCTGGTCCTGCTCCACCAGCCCACTGTGGGTTCCCCCGACGGGTCCCCCCACTGAGCCTCAGATTCCCACAGTGCCTGCTCGTGGGGCTGGGGGCCTTCAGGTCGGCCTCAGATGTTCAGGGGTGCAAGCTCGCTTGCTGGAGCCCGTGAGTGGTCCCCGTGTGCCAGCACAGAGGGGAACAGGGGTTTTGGGGTGGCACAGCAAGGCTCAGCCTGTGCCCCAGTTCCAGGGAGCCCTGCAGGCACTGGATTTCCAGTTGTGTTGTTTCATCACCCTCCAGCCCCACAGGGGAGCTGGGGAAGCTGCTGTGAGGAGGAAGGGTTTGTGGGGACAGGGTTGTCCCTGCAGCAGAGTGGCCCCCCGGGACCTGCAATGACAGTGCTGTCTGCTGGTGGAGAAAGGCCCCGGCAGGGTCGGGTGTGGGGGCTTCTGCACCCCCCATTTCCCTTCATTTGGCACAGAAACACTCCTGTTCCCAGGGCTGGGGGCAGCCAGCACCCCAGGGGACAGTCCCAGCAGCAGAGGGTGACAGGGTCCCCAGTCCTGCTGCTGGGGGGGTGAGGATGGTGTGAGCCATGGCCCAGCTTAGGGGACCCCAGGAAGCACATCCACTCCAGCACCCAGCAGTGGGAACCTCTGTGCCCAGGCTCTCCCTGGGGCAAATAATCCCCACAGAACAGGCAGAACAGGGTGTTTGAACCTGACACTTTCTGCTGCTGCCCTGTGCTTCGGGCATGGTATCAAGGGAAAATGGACCAGAGCATCACAAATTGGTCAAAACATCCACACTTTGGTATGAAGCACAAGCTGCTTCCTAGTGATGACAGCAAGCAAAAGTGGGACTCATCCCCTCACCCTTGCCGTTCACAGCTCCTGGTTGGGAGCCCACTGCCAGCCGATGTTTGGACTCCTCAGACTCAGTTCCCAAATTCCCATGTGTGTGTTATCACCCCGTGTCCCCCCACACGTGTGGCCCTGCCAGCAGCTCGTGGGCTCACCCAGTCAGCTGGCTGGGAAATTAGTCTCCATCAAGTTAATTGCCCAACTGCTCAAAGCCTGAAATTAAACGTTAAAGAGTCGCTCGCAGGCACAGAGCAACCTCCCCCCGCCCCAGCAAAAGGCAATTCCAGCTGTCCAAGCGGAGGGAAGATGGATTCCCTGTCTTGGGGCAGCACTGGGAAGGAGCAGCTGGTGACAGTCCCCACGGTGCTATGGAACAAGTCCCCAGCACAGCCTGGAACCTGCTGCTGACGGGCAGAGCAAACCCTGAGCCACAGACAGACCCTTTCCTGGAGGTCTCCTTGCTCTGGTGCTGAAAGGGAGGGATGTGCCTGTGAGAACCTTCATGGAATGAAGCTTTCCTTGGCTGTGTGGGGTGGGAGGCTCCGAAGGGGACTCTGATGTCCTGCAGTCACTGTCCAACCCTGGGGCTCCCCAGTATAACCCTTTCCCCCCGGCTCCCGCTTGAAAAAACATCCCCCAAAGTAACAGTGTGACACCAGGGTGTCTCTAGGATCTGACCAGCTTCTCCTTGGCCTTGCAGTGACGGGCTGCCCCGGAGGGGAAATGCATCCTGAATGGGGCTGAGGCCCCCTGCACGGGAATATGCAGCCTCGGCACCGCGGAGGCAGCACCAGGGCAGCGGCCGGCGCGCGGCGGAATGGTGGCAACGTTCAAGATCGCCGTGCTGGGAGCCCAGGGCGTGGGCAAGAGTGCCATAGTCCGGCAGTTCCTCTACAACGAGTTCAGCGAGGTCTGTGTGCCCACCACGGCCCGCCGCGTCTACCTGCCCGCCGTCGTCATGAACGGCCACGTCCACGACCTGCAGATCATGGACTTTCCCCCCATCACCGCCTTCCCTGTCAACACCCTGCAGGTAGGGGTGCTCCCGAGGGGACCTCCACCCTGGGGGGGGGGTCTCTGGTGACCTCCCTGAGGTTTCGCTGTGTGACTCCACGGGGTCCTGGTTTCTCGTCTTTGGGGGGTGCTTCTCCCTCCGTGTCAGGGTTTGGCTGCTAAAAGCCGGTGTGAGGGGTTGTGTCCTCATGGATACTGGCTGAGCAGGCCCAGGATAAAGTGCCTTTTAAAGCTTGATGGCAGCAAATACAAGAGACGGGGTCCCACTCCAAGGAGCGTGGCTCTGGGATTACCCACAGCCACATCCAGCTGAGTGGTAGATCCTGGAGCATTGGGATCCAGTTCCATGGCTGTCAGAGAAAATGCCAGAGCATTCAGGTGGAAATCAGGGGTTCCTGGAGAGCCAGACTCCTGATGTACCCACTGCCCAAGCCAGGCAGAGCAGGGCTGCTTGTCCCCTCCTGGGAGTGGCCACCACCCCCCTGCACTGCCTGGGCTCGTTCTTGGAGCGCTGGATCCACCAACTCCTCCTCAACCCTCCCTCCCACTCTCAGGTGCTTCCAAAGCATCCCCAAAATGCAGTGTGGGGCTGGAAAGTGCTGACCAGTGCTGACCATTTCAGGGGCTTTAATAGGGGAAAAAGGGGATTTGAAGCTCATGCCATAGCCCCATCCCAGAGGCACAAGTTGTGTCACTGCTGTTGGAAAAGGAGCTGGAGGTGCCCAACCACAACTGCAGCCACGCTGGAGGGCAGTGCCATCAGTGGGGCCACCTCAGTTAATTACAGTGTTCCTGTGCCCGACAGGGACAGCGTTTACAGGGGCCATGTATTGCTCCAGGAGTCCCTGTGCCATCGGGCAGGATGGCACGAGTGCTCCAGGGGCGAGGAGCAGGTTTAAAAATTAACCAGTGAGCGCAGGGAACGAAAGGTCAGCGCGAGAGACAGCCCGAAATAGCAAAGGGTAATTTATTGACACGGCAGCCGATGGCAACACACTCGATTAACTCCCTGCCTTGCTGCACTCAAGTGGAGGCGGCCGGTGGGAACAGATGGAGGTTTCCAGGGAGGAGAGGGTGCTCAGGCGGATGGCTCCGAGGGGAAAGAAGAGGACCGTGGTGGAGGATACGGCTCTGCCTGCTGGGAAACATCTCTGGACTCTGCTCCACGCCCAGGAAAAGCATCCCTGCAGTGATGTCCTGGAAGAGGAGCAGGAGTCAGTGGCTCTCCGACATCCTGCTGCAGCAGTGCAACCCTTCTACAGCTCAAACATCCCTGGAAACCTGCACTGCATGAGGAAAACCATCCTGACATCGCAGCGCCGGAGCAACTGCAGCCTGGTGTGGTGAAATAGCTGCGATTTGTTGATCTCTCCGGTGTATCGGGACTCAGTGTAACCCGAGACACTGCTGCTCCACCCGCCTGTGTCCCTGAGACTGAGGAGCTCCCCAGCACCTCCTCCCCTCGGTGGACAGAGAGGGGCTGGGTCACTCTGCTCGCCCTGAGCTCCTTCCCGTGCTGCCGTCTGCTGTGGAGACAAACCCTCACCCCAAACCCACCTTTTTCCCAGTTCTCTTCAGTTCTAGGTCTTCTCATTTTGCTTCATTCCAATGATAAACTCAGAAAGGGCTGATTCATGGTTCTGAAGGGGTTTGCTCAGGGACAAGTGATGCCTTTCCTCCTTGGAGCATCTTTCTCCTTTCCAGAGGCACTCAGGAGGGTTTGCAGTGCTGCCTTCACAGGCTACCATTCCTGGTCGCACTGCTGGAATGGGAAAGTGGCTGGAAGTGGGGAAGATTTTCACATATAGCATGGGAAAAAATCCTGTTGTTCCCAGAATCCCCAAACTTTCACAACAGCATGTATTTCTTACTACTCCAAATTTTGAATGTGGAGAGGCCACCCTGGCCTCCCTCTGCTCTGTCCCCTGATCTTGCTCTCACAGACCTGGTTCCTGAGCAGCCACTGCTCCTCTCCTGTCCCCATGTCCCTTCCAAACAGACCTGCCATCACACTCCCCCTCTGACCCACAGAGCTGCTGGTCCATCACCCTCAGACCCATGGGGATGGGCCTCAGCATTCTCCTCACCTGCCCTGCCCAAAGAGTAGGGTGCATCACTAATTAACACACCTAATTAGCAGCTCTGCAGGATGAAGCTTTTACATCCAGGGCAGGGGGCTGCATTTGGCACCGCTCCCAGCTCATCACTGTGTGTTAGGCAGGCTGTAATCCTCGCTCAGGAGAGAAACTGGGACTGACAAATCCTGTTACCTCTCCTCTGGATGAACAAGGAGGGATAAAGAATCTCTGGAGGGGGGGGGATGGCTGAAGGGCTGTGGGTGCAGACGCAGCTGTCGCAGGGTTGGTCACAGAGCAGGGGTGAGATGGGTGCTGGGTGTCGGGGCTGGAGAGTGTTCAGCCCCCCTGCTGCCTGCTGGCTTAGCAGCCTCCTTATGTGCCCATGCCCAGAGCAGTGTGGGGCATCCCCTGGGCCCAGCAGCGGGGCTAAGCCAGGATTGATCCCTCTCTGCACCTTGCAGGAGTGGGCGGACGTGTGTTGCAGGGGGCTCCGGAGCGTCCATGCCTACATCCTGGTCTATGACATCTGTTGCTTTGACAGCTTCGAGTACATCAAAACCATCCGCCAGCAGATCCTGGAAACAAGGTAGGGGCCACTTTGCTGGATGATGCATCCTGTCCTGCAGCTCTCAGCAGAGTGGTATGGCTGGTCCCAGTGCTCCCCTGCTCTTGGCACTGGAGATGAGATACTGGACTGGGACAAAACCCCTTTGCAGGGCTGGAAGCCCAACAGCAAAATCAAAACTGGGACTGGGGGCAGGAGAAGGAACAGGACCCTGGGCAGGTACCCCCTGTGGGTGAGGGAAGCCATCCCTGGGAGAGAAGCTGGGGGTGGCACGGTGGGTGGCTGTCCATGGAGAGGGACAAGAGGATAGGACAAGGGGAGGCACATCCCACTCAGCAAGCCAAAACCAAGAGCCAGTTTGGGATGGGTTGAGCTCTGTGGGCCAGTCAGTCACCCCAGTGTGTCCCTGTACCCTTCTGTCCCCCCTCACCACCCACCCTCCCCAGGGTCATCGGCACCTCGGAGACACCCATCATCATCGTGGGCAACAAGCGGGACCTGCAGCGGGGCCGGGTGATCCCGCGCTGGAACGTCTCCAACCTGGTGAAGAAGACGTGGAAGTGCGGCTACATCGAGTGCTCGGCCAAGTACAACTGGCACATCCTGCTGCTCTTCAGCGAGCTCCTCAAGAGCGTGGGCTGCGCCCGCTGCAAGCACGTCCACACCACCATCCGCTTCCAGGGCGCCCTGCGCAGGAACCGGTGCACCATCATGTGAGCCCCTCCTGCCCCCATGGACCCCCCTTCCTCGGGGGCCGAGGCTCCCCTGTGAGCACCGGAGTCTCTGCTCTCCGTGGGGGTGATGCTGCGGTGGGAGCTGTGCTGGAGGCACCTCGGGGTTGGCTTCCCACTGGCGCTGGCACCCTGCGGTGACATTTGGGGACAGCGCGCCTTGGGCAGGGTGATGTGGTGGCCGGTGGCAGGTTGGAGCAGGTGGCCACCTGGAGGTAGTGATGGGTGAGGGAGGTCCTTGGTTAAACCCCCAGGCCCTTCCTGAGCCTCAGCTTGAGGCCAAAGCTGTCCCGGGGGAGGGTTGTACATGGCACTGGAGGATGGGGGAGATCCCTCAGAGGGCGCCCAGATTTTGGCTGTCAGGCCCATCCTTGCCAATTCCTGCTCTGGCACCACAGGGGCAATGCTTGCTGCTCCCTGCCATCACCTGCCCCTGGAAGGGAATGATCCAGCACCTCTATCCTGATGTGCTGGGAGTGGTTCCATCACTGGGTCACAGGGAGACAGGAGTCCTGTTTTCCTCCCTGCAGAGCTGGGGTTTCTCCCCTTGGAGGACAGAACAGTCTCCAGCAAGAGGCCAGGTTACACGGGATCTCTTTTGGCTCAGTTGGATGAGACTTCCAGGTGGAATTTCCCGATGAAAGCAAGAAAGGGGGAAAAAAAAATAATAATAAAGTCCCCATCCCGCCCCTTACATCCCCAGGATGCCGGGAGCTGCCTCCCCAGGGCTCTCAGTCCCTCTCTGCCCCAGCCCAGCCCAGCAAGGCTCCTCCTCCCCACCAACCTGTCGAACACCAAATAATCTCGGAACGCTCCTTGCCGGGCAGGTCACCCCTCCGCTACCTCGCGTCCCGGGCTCAGCCAGCGGCTGGCTTTGCACGGCTTCCACCCGAGCCCCCGGTGTCTCCCGGGCGGGCGGGCAGCCCCCTGTGCCCCCTCGGTGCTGCGCCGGGTTTTCCCATGGTGATCCTGCCTCCATCCCGGTGAGACGCGGCCCTGGGAAGGCAGCCTCCGAAGCAATAGGGAGCTGGAGTTGCGTTTGTGGTTGCATTCCTGCTTGTTTCTTTTTGTTTCGGTTTTGTTTTGGTTTTCTCTCTGCGTATCCCTAGCAGGAAAGTGAGCCTCTCATTTTTTATTATTATTATTATTATTTTTTCAATCTCTCAGCACGTTTTTCCCCCAGACTTGCAGCTCGCCTGAGTCCTGTCCTGCAGGGCCAGGTGGCAAAGGGCAGCCCCTGTTAGGAAACGGTGGTGGGGCAGTGAGGGGTGAGCAAGGGGCCGTGGTTTCTCCTTGGCTGCCCCCTGTGAGGCACAGGGAAATACCATCCCCACCTCCTGAGGCAGGATCTGTGGCTGGTCCATCCTCCAGCAAAACCATCCCCATGATTCCTGGTGTAACAGGGAGGTGCAGGTATTCAAGGTATTCAGTGCTGCTCCGGGCAGGAAAGCAGAAGGACACCAGTCCTTCTTCCTCCCACAGCCAGGTGTCCATCTCCCAGCAGCATCACCGTGCTCTTGGAAACACTTCCTATGAAAGGCAGGTCCAGCTGAGCTCCAACACGGTGCATCCCCCCACCCCATCCCTGTGCCAGGGCCAGGGGGGCTGGGTCACCCTGCTCCCTCCCCGCTGGGGGACCCAAACCCCTTGATCCAAAAAAAAAAAAAAAAAGAAAATCAAGGAAAAAAAAAGGCAATGGGAGGACACAATTCCATCTCAGCCAGGAAGGCAGTGGTACTTGTCACCATCCCTGGCCTTCATGGCAAACCCAGCTCCCTTATCCGACCTCATCCCGCCAGGATTTATGAACACGTGGAAGTCCACTTATCGACCTCTGGCTAGCTTTATCCCTCCAAATTGTCTGAGAAGGAAATTCCTTGGTAAATGCTAATAATAAAGCATTTATAAAGTGCTCCGACGTACACATATCAACGACTAAGCCAATACATTGTTTGTTATAACCCTGTAGCCTGCAGTTTATAGCACAATTAGTTACAGGTTTTTATAGCATCTCTTTAGTATTTTGAAAAAAAAAAAAAAGGTTATAAATATAATTGTTATATTCTATTGTACTTTATAGACAGAGGAAGTTATATTAGTAATAATAACTCTCACTGCTTCGTCAGCATTTCCCAGCTCCCAGGAAAACGAGGGCTACAAAGAGCCGCTTTCCCAAAAGCTCAGGAGGGGGTAGGTGATGATGATATCCTGGGTGGTGGTATCCTGGGTGCAGGCAGGGGCTCTGAGGCAGGACGTGTCCAGGCCTCCAGGAGCACAGCAGCAGCTACAAGCACCTCGTGCCTCACCCCTACTCACACCCCCCTAGTACAAAGCGTTCCCACTTCCCCAACACCACCCTGGTCCTGCTGAGAACAACCTGCTCCTGGGCCTGGGGGAGGCTGGGATGTCCCCACCGCTGTCCCCAGGACAGTGCTGTGTTTCTGCCCCTGTGCACGTGGAGGCAATGCCTGGGTTTGGCTCAGTCCCACCAAGGATGCTTCCTCTCCTCCTCCTCCTCCTCCTCTTCCCCCTGGTGAAAATCCCAGTTGCCTGGACTTGGCTTTCCTTTCCCTCCTGGACTTCTTGTCGGAGATTCCCAAGGTGTCTACACCGCCTGTAACGCCCTGCACCCCCTTCTTTGAAATCGAATTAAAAATCAGGTCTGTCCCCCTTGTTCTGTACCCGCCTCAGGAGTGTTTTTGCAAGCAGGTTTGGCATCCCCGGAGCCCCAGGGCTCACCTTTACTACCTCTGCAGGGGTGTGGGGCTGGCTTTGTCCCCTCGAGGAAAATGGGGATCCCTGGCCCCCGGGGGGCTCCTGGAGGGAGTTGTGCCCACAGGGAGCAGACTGGCAGCTGTGGCCCTTCATCAGCATTATCCTCTCTCCCTCCTCACCCACACCAAAAAAAAGGTGTGGAAACAGAAGAGCTTTGGTCCGTCTCTATTGCACAAGCAGCATTGCTGGGTCCGTGGTGCAGGCTCGGGGTGTGGCCCCCATGACCCTCAGGGGCAGCCACCACGCCCGAGGTGACCCCTCTGGTTCTCCCACCTTCGCCCACAAGGAAGCTCGTGGGGGTCAGCAAGGGGCTCTTCCAGTGACCCCCCAACATGAGTGACTCACTCATTAAAGCTGTGAGACATAAGGCTTGTCAGTCCCAGGGTACAGACAGGGAAGTCTGAGGTTCGAGATGTTTTACACCTTTGGATGCCCCTGGTGTCCCTGCTTCTAGTGGGGGCTACACCCCTCTTCCCTGCAGAAAGCACCCCATCCTCTCAATTCAGGGCTGGATTTTTCCACCCAAACCAGCACAAAAGCGCCTGTTTATCCCAAAGAATTAGCGGTACAAAAAAAAAAACCCACAGGGAAGGAGGGTGCGTAGCTTCGAAGAGCGAGGCGGGAGGACCCCCGGGCTGCCTGGGAGCAACCCCATTACGCCACCCATGCCAACCTCAGGCACTGCAGCTCCAGTTTCAGCATCGCTCCCGTTTTTGGAGTGAGGGGTCCGTCCCCACCGGCACTCGGGGAGGGGTCAGACCCAGGACTCCTCATCATCCTCGGTCAGCCAGGCGCTGCCTGTCGGCTGGGGAGGGCTTGGCCAGAGGGCGTGTGCTGCCGGGCGGGGGGGGTCTGGGCGGCCCCGGGGGGCGATGCTGGCCCCGGCGGGCAGGTGGGCGATGCCCCAGCGGGGTGGGGATGCGCGAAGGGCGCTTGCCTGGCCTGTGGTCCCGCCGGGGACGCACCTTGGGCCGCAGCTTCAGCTTGTAGATGGAGGGAACACGCTCAGGCTTCTTCAGGCACCTCCGGGGCTTGGGGACGCTGTTGGAGCTCACTCCTTGTGGGGTCTGGGACCCCACTCCCGTCCCCTCTGCTTCCTCCGTGGCTGGGAGGGTGGTGGGCTGTGGGGCAGCTCGTGGGGGTGTTTTGGGGACCTGTCTCCCCAGCCCCACAGGGCACAGGGGATGCTGCCTGCGGGAGAGCTCCTCAACCACCCTGTCATAGCCGGGGGGCTGTGTGTGCCCCCAACACCCCCGAGGACCCTTTCTCCCATCACCAGGGCCACAGGCTCCCCTCGGTTCATCCCCTGGCACCCCAGGCCCCTCAGCACCCCCAGCTCTTGGCTTCAGGGTCGGGTGGCACTGCCGTGTCCCCTGGGGACCACCCCCGGCAGCACAGACCTTGCACCCCTCTGCAAAATCGGCCAGAGGGGTGGGAGGCCGGGAGGTGGCTGGGCGGGCTTTGATGGGGGTTTTAACGCTGCTGTCCTGTTTTGGGGGCTGGCTGGAGGAATTTCGGGGTGAGGGGGAGTGGCCCCGGCTCAGGGCTACCCGTCTCCCTTCCCGTGGGCTTTTCTGTCTCTGTGAGTCTCCCTGGGCACCTCGGTGTGAGGAGGGGACACAGCCCTTGAAGGGGCTGGGGGCACGGGGTGTCACTGTGGTGGGTACCGCTGTTTCCTGTGGCCTGGCAGCCACCACAGGTGATTTTCCTCCTTGCTGGGTGCTTCTCGGAGGTGCTGGTGTCACCCTTGGGCTGGGTGCTCTGGACCTGCCCCGCGCCAGTGCCACTGGGGCCTTCCCTGGGGTGCTCCCATGTGGTGCTTTAGGGACCCCCACGCCGTTTGGCAAGGTCAGCCGGGAAGGGGTGGGTGCCCGGCCTGTCACCCCTTGGCCAGGGGAGCTGGGTCGAGCAGGAGCCCTGGATGGCGGTGGCTGCCTCCCCGGAGAGGCAGCCGGTGGCTCCCGCATCCTGCAAGGAGAGAGAGCAGAGAGGAGCCGGAGAGCTGCTGCATCCACCCACCCAGCCTGGTATGGGCACATTCAGAAGGGCTGGGGGAGGGAGGTGTGGGAATTCAATGGTATGAGGGAAAACAGCTGTGAAACCAGGCAGTTTGGGGCACGAACCATCTCTGCACCGCTTACCTGCCCGAAGGGACCCTCCGGGGCTGCGCTGGCTCCCGGTGAGGGCTGGCACCCAGTGGGCGACCCGAGCTCTGTGGTGAGGGGGTGGCAGGGGACTGGGGGCGAGGAGGGACACGGGGCCCCCAGGTGACGGGGGGCAGGGGGCTCTGGGAGCGGTTGACCAGCAGCGTGGTTTGGGGGCCACGGGAAGCGGCCGCCTTCGAGGCCGGGCACAGCCAGACCTCGTGCTGCGCTTGCTGCTGAGGGCTCCTGGCTTGTTTGTGAGCTGTGGGAGAAAACGGAGAGGGGCTCAGCATCCCTGTCCCCTGCACCCACCCTCGGGTGCAGCCCCCCAGCCATCGCTCAGCATCCCAGCCCCCCGAGGATGCTGGCAGAAATCTGCGCTCCCTGCGAAGGGCCTTTTGGGGTCTGGCTGCATCTGAAAGTCTTCCATGACCTCTAGTGGCCACCAAAGCCAAAGAGTCACTACTCAGAAGCAGACATTCCCCGGCAAAACAACGAGGCACGGCTGTACAAAAGCCTCCTGCTTTCGGGAGCCTCCTGCTCCTGAAAACGGCCACAGACGCATCGAGACCCACGACAGACAGACCCACCCCCCGCCCTCACCCCGCCACGGGGTTTGGGGACGCGGGGACTCACAGAGGGAGGTGCAGCGACACGGGTCGTGCTTGTCCAGGTAGTGCTCCAGCGTGTCCCAGCCGCCCCCGACCCGCACCATGACGTGCTCCCGCAGGATCTGCACGGGATGCCGTGTGCCGTGAGGCCCGGAGAGGTGCTTGGGATGGGGCACCCCTCCAGTTTTTAATCAGCCTGGGGGTGACACACTCAGCCCGGCTTTGAGAGCAGTGGGCTTGCCCTAAGTGCCACCCGGTCTCCCAAAGGACAGCTTCATTCCTGGCTCAGCTCCTGCTGCCATTCCAACATTTCATCACACCAAGGAGAATGGGAACCACTTTGGAAAACCCCTCTCCTTCATCATGTGCTGAGTTGTTTGGCCAGGCTTAGGGATGAATCCAGGCAGGGACAGAGCTTCCCAGTGTTCCTATTGTTGGGTAAGAACCTGGCTCTGGCTCGGTGAGGGACAGCCTGTTGTGTCCTGTACACGTGGGTGGTCACACCCATCCAAACACTGACAGCAGGGCTGAGCTTCCCTGCTTCCCTGCTTTGGGAATAATGGTCAAAACTCCCATACTGGCCCCATTTGGGGGATGGATTATGGAAGAGGCATCAAGGCAGCAGAGGAGGATTCCTTGTGCCTGTGCCCCAAAAGCACGGGGAGGAGCAGACTCACCCGGACAAAGATGAGGGTGTCAGAGTCGCCCACACGGTATTTCCCTTCGGATATCTTGATCATGGGGAACTGGACAGGGCAGGTACAGCGGCTCACCAGGTGCTGGACCTGCAGGCAGCAGGAATGGGTCCTGGAGTGGCCATCCCCATCCATCCCCATCCCCATCCCTGTCCATCCCCGTGCTCATCCCCATCCTGTGCCCCTCCGCACCATCTGGTCGAGGTTGTTGAGGTCCCGTGGTTTCCTGGGGGGCCGGGGCAGGGGGGTGTCTGTGGGGGGCAGGTCCAGCTCCTGGCGAAGCTCCTCCTCGATCTCCTCCTCCATCTGCACCAGGGTCGGGGCGCGCATGCCGAAGCGGGAAGCGCGACGTGCCAGCTCCAGCAGGCACAGCACGAAGTTCTTCTCGTTCTTCCTCAGCACCAGGTCCTCTGTCTCAAACATCAGCACATCTGGGGCAGGGCAGGGCTGGGCTGAGCCAGGGTTGGCACGTGGGGATGGGGACAAAGGGGACGAGGGCCCAGATGGAGTCAAAACCCACCCAAAGGGGTGCTATTCACCGGAGCCAGCCCGCTGGGAATATGGTTGGGTTCAGCAAGAGTTGGGATAAATTAAAGCACTTAAGATCTTCTTGAGCATCTACAGCTGTTTCATTGCATTGCAAAGCCGCAAAACTCTAGTCTGGGTTCCTTGAGGGTGTGCCACTCTGTGCCATTCCCCTTCCTGGGCATCCACTGGTGGTAGGACAGGCTGACAGACCCTTTGCTGAGCCAGGATTTCTCCTGCTCTCCTTACAGCTGGGATCACGCCATGCCTGGCAGGGACACACTGGCCATACACCCTTTCTTTTTCCACCCCTCCAGTGCATATTTGCACCCAAGCAAACACACCAGGCGTGTGCCAGCACCTTGCAAAGTTGCTGCCAAGCCTGGAGGAGCTTGTGCAAGGAATGCCAGCTCAGGGGTGCATGCACATGGTGCTGCCCCATGCCGGGGTGGCACTGATTTTGGGGGACACCTGGGAAAACACCCGTGGTGATGTCAGGAGCATCTGGAGGGGACTTGCACACACAGACACAGGGCAATAGGAGCCTGGCATCCTACCTTTGATATCCATCTCCTTCCTGCACCACTGGATGAAGTTGGAAACGTTGTCCCTGGCCTGGAAGGTGCCTGGCTGAGCTGTGAGGTTGCAGGTGACACCGGCAGTGGGCAGGCGGAGGTGACGGGCCACGTCGGGGTAGGCGCAGGCGAACTCCCCGGCCACCTGGGTGACGTTGTTGGCGTGGGAGCAGAGCACAACCCCCGTTTCCAGCACCTCCACAAAGGTGCCCACCCTGATGTCCAGGTCATACAGCTCCTTCAGCCACTCCGCCAGGTCCTCCTTCATGGCGTACAGGTACTGCTGGCTGGTCGGGTAGGGACGGATGCTCCGCACGGCCGGAGTGCCCCACATTCTGCCATGAGACTGGGAGGAGGTTGAGGGAGAGGCATGATGGGGACATGGGTGATGGGGACATGGGGAGCTGCCCCAGCTGTGCCCCCCAGCCCACCTCCCCAGCAGCCACACTCACCCGGTGCCACTTGCTCCCTGCCACCCGGGACGGTGATGCCGCCGTCCTCCTGGTGTCCAGAGCCCTTCTGGGGTCTGAGGGCTGAAGGAAATCACCCTCCTGGGCAGTGGGTGTTTTGTTTCCTTCCCAAGTGCTGATCCCTTCTCCTTGGTGACAAGGGACTGGCTGCAAACACTCCCTCTTAACCCTTCAGCACCTGCTCCTCCCCAGCCATGCAAGGGGTGGATTTTCCCCCGAGGGCCCTGGCTCCAGGACAGGAAGGAATTAGAGGGCAGCTCATCAGCTTCCCGAGTTGCTCACAACCACGAGAGGGATTTTCCCCCTTCCTGACACCCCTCCAACCATCTCCACCACAGGTGGGGTGACCTGGTGGCCCTACAAGACACATCTTCAGGGCAACCTCGAGGTGAGGAGGGTTTATTTCCACACCCACCTTTGGGCTTTCTCTGCCCTGTGCTTCCTTGCAAACTTCTCCCCAAATTGCCCACAACAGCGAGGTCTTTGGTAAAAGCCAAGCTCCTCCAGGGACAGAGTGACTCCAGGAGTTGGGGCTTTAAGGAAATAACTACACATGAGTGGGCACCTCTGGGAATGTGGGATACTCCCTCCCCAACCCAGGGCTTGCAGAGCTGCAGCAGCACCCAGGTACTTCTGCAAAAAGCGAATCTACCAGGGAAGTGCTCACGCCTCAGGACCGAAACAGAGCCTCTTGTGTGCTTGGGGGGCTCTGTCATGGGCTTTGGGGGGGCTTCTTGCTGTGTTGAGAGACCTGTCCTCTCCCTGGAGCCAGCTGCTGATGCTCACTGCAGCTCACTGTCCAGCCAGTGTCGTTTTGGGGGAGGAAGTGCAAGAATCCCAGCTATTCTGCCTGGGAATGTGTGGCAGGCTGGAGGAGTCTGTGCCTGGCATGCCCAGCCAGGGAGCCCAGCAGCAGAAAAGGACCCTTGTGAAGCTGGATTTCCAGCCAGGGCACCCAGTGGGGCTGATTGCACAGCTCAGGGTGTGAGTTCACCTCCCCCAGGTCCCCCTCACACCAGTGGGGTGCAGGTGATACATCACAGTCATCCCATCCCTGCCAAAAATGCTGTGCTCAGACCCAGCCCTGGCAGCATCACAGGACCCCAAGGCTCCCGATGGGACACAGCCACAGGAAAACACATGGCAGCAGGCCAGGAAGGAAAAGGAAAACCCAAAAAGGGGAGAGGATTTGAGGCTGTCCCATCCTCAGCCTCCAGTTCCACAGCAGATGGGATGCCTGCTTTCTCCTAAGGGAACAGAAAAGGGCATAATGAACTGCTGCTCCTCAGCAAAGCTGCAGGTGTGGAGTTATCCCTGGGGTACAGCCTGGCCCAAAAATCCTCCTGCACATGGAGCAGGAGTGACACTGCTCTCCTGACCCTGCCTGACACCCAGAGCAAATGCCTTGACAGAAAGACCTTGTCCAGTGCCAGCTTTGCCCATCAATCCTCCAGTCCCCCATCAATCCCTCCATTAATCCCCCATCAACACCCCCATTATTCCCCCCATCACACTGCAGATCCCACAGCCAGAGGCAGCCGAGGGAGCTGGCTGGGGTGTTCCCTGTCCCTTGGGAAGTCAGGATCCACCTTCACACACTTCTTCAATAGGCTGGAGGGCCCCCATCAGCATGAATTCAGCCTGGGGAAAAAAACTATTAACACATCCCAAGGTGTGGAAAAATCCTCAGGAATGTGGGAAGAATTAGGGAATAGAGTTTCCCTGTTCTCATCACCATCAGTGAGTTTACAGTGGGATCCATCTCCTCCCTTTGATCCAGCGAGCACAAAAGCTGAGGCCAAAGTCAGCAATACCCACTCCAACCCCAAACACCCACAGGCATCTAAAACATAGCCCTGCCAGGAAACTGGAGATTGGCTTTAAAAAAAAAAAAACCCACAAACCAAAACCAAACTGGGACATGAAAACAAGCAGAAATCCCAGTGCCACATATCCAGAGGTTCGTTTTATTTGCCAAGAGGTTTCCAAGCCCTTGGGACTCCCGGCAGGCGACGTCTCCTTGTTATCATTCAATCCCAAACGAAAACGCTGAGGCCCCGTTTCTTTGGCAACGCTGAAAGTCCCCTGAGGTTTTAAGCAGATGAAGTGTCCATGTTTGTGCCTGTGCACGAAGGGCTCACTCACAGGTGTTGTGATGAACAGGAAGAGTGGTGTTTCTCCATCCTGCCAAACCCACATCCCAGCTGGCAGCACTGAAAACCCTTGGGAAGTACCAACCCCTGGCACCCTGCCTGGGGCAAGCCTGGCTCCTGCCCTCTCTAGGGAAGGTTTAGGGTGAGCAAGGGTGAGGGGAAGATGCTGTGCTGAAGAAAAGAGTCCTCAGAGCTGCTGGCATAGGGAGGGCACCTTGGCATGGCACCACAGCACAGCACCCTGACACAGCACTGGCACAGCAGGACCAGCCCAAAGTGGTGCTGGGGGCTGAGTCCTGGGAGAACCATCAGTTCCAGCCCTGGGAAGCCAATGCTTGCCTACATGCCGTGGGACACGATGGCCCTTTGTGGCCATGACAGGTGACTGTGCACAGGAGCCGGTGGCGTTTCCAGGTGGGGAGCTTCGGGAAAGGAATGAGGAATATGCAGCCGCACTGTCCCTGTGAGCCTGCATGCACAGACATGTCTGCCCTGCTCGCCCTCTCCTCTTCCCCTCCTCCTCCAGTAATTTGTCAGCCCCTTGTTCATCCAACTGTGGTACAGCAACTCAAAAATACACCAATTCTGTCCCTTGCAGAGAAAAAGCAGAGCTGCCCGTGAGCTGCACGGCCCCATGGTCACATCTCAGCTGTGCCTCCCCTCTCTCTGCATTCCAAAGAGGCTCCTGCACCAAACCCCTCTGCTTTCTCCCCCCAGATCCCACTGTGTTGGTGTCTCCAGCTGGTGCCTCATCAGAGCTCTGGGATGTGAGCACAGCCCAGCAAAGCACCCAATCCCCCATCCCTGGGGCTCTGTGCACACAGCAGGGGCAAAGCTTAACACGGATCCAAAGTTTTGTCCAAATGCCTCTTTCCTTTTTTTTTTTAAGCAGGAAATATTCTCAGTCTCTCATTTAAAAGCATCCAAACCCCAAGCCAAGCAATGGCGAGGCAATTCTCCTCCTGGTCATGGGAAAACGACAGATATGAACAAGTATCAACAAAGATATCAAAAAATAGCAACAAACCCCAGTCCTGCTTTGTAAAAAACTGTGTAACAATATCCTGAACCTTAACAGAAATGGGTGTGATTGCAGTCTCCATGGCTTATGTATTTTTTTGTGGTCTTTAAAAAAAAATACTGTCACCCAAAGCCTCCAGCCCACCTGGCTGTGACAGACCTGTCCCACTGCATCCATGCTGTGCTGGGACACTGCTCCACCATCCCACGGCTCCAGCCATCCACAGGTAGCCAGTCTCTCTGCCAAACCATCCTCAGACAGGAACCCAGAGTCAAATAAAGAGGGATCCAGGCAGCGGTGAGCGAGGTGGGGTTCAGACCCCCGTGTCATCCCAGCAGGTTCTGCTCAGAAGAGGACCTGCCCACTGTTTGAGTCCCAGCAGCCCATCCAGGGGAGCTGGGTGGCCCATTTGCCAGTGGCCACCACTTGCAGCTTTGCCTGGTCAAACTTCCAGAACTGGTCGTCCCGGAAGAAGTAGATGAAGCCGTCGCGGTGGGCGAGGGCCCCCGCCGTGCCGGGGGGCAGCCCCTGCCAGTCCCGCAGGCTGCGGGGGTAGTAGGGCTCCACAGCCAGGGTCTCCTCGCTCACCACGAAGTATTTGGGGCCCTTGAACAGCACCAGGCGCCGGAGCTGCTGGAAGTAGAGGCGGTGTCCGGGTGCCGAGGGAGCCCACGGGCGCTGCACTTTTGGGGAAAACCCGCCTCCAGCGTGGAGCCCACGTAGCGCCAGCACCGGCCACCTGGGGAGAGACAGGCAGGGGGTCAGAGCCCACCCCAAGGGGGTCCATGGCAGGACCAGCTCCAGGAGATGTGGAAAGACTCAGCCACGGAGCCAGCCTTGTGTTTGTGACATCCATCCCACTGGTGACCCAACCGGCACCACTGCGGGGCTGCCCCGAGGAACAGGCTGGGGGCACACTGTGAGGCACAGCAGCTCAGGGGTTTGAAGGTACAGAAAGGGACTGCCAGGGACAGAGCAAGGCCATCCCCATGCTGTTTCCCTGCAAACCTTCCCCTGCTCCTGCATAGAGAATGGGACAGACAGACCCAGACCTGACCTGGTCTGGGACAACCAAAACCAGCACTGCAGCAGCAGGAACTGTGATGGGGACTGATGGCTCAGTGATCCCACAGTGCCCTGTCCCCACAGTGCCCTGTCCCCACAGTCCCCTCTCCCCACAGTGCCCTGTCCCCACAGCTCAGGCAGACAAAAGCCCCTTTCTGCTCCCAAGCCGCAGCCTCACCCGGCCCTGGGGAGGGACGGAGGGAGCGGCGAGGGCCGGGGAGGCAGAGGGGCTTTGGCTCTCACCCAGCAGCAGCAACAAAGCCCCTTTTCTGAAGAACCAGCAACTGGTTTCCATTAAAAGCTGGGGCTGACCCTGGCAGCCGGGCTGCCTGGTTTGACCTTCCTCTCCCCATCCGGCTGTGGCTGCCGGGCAGCTCAGGGATGGCATTCCAGCTCCGGGGGCAGCTCAGCCCCTGGCATGACACAGGGATCCGTGTGTGCCATGAAAACACCACACTCAGCTCCTCTCACCCATGTGTCTTTGGGAGTGTTTTCTCCCCGAGACCCCACGGGGTTTGATGCACCCGGTTTGGTTCTGACACACCGGTGAGCTCTGCTCTCCTGAACGGGCTGATGGGGAAACTGAGGCACGAGGGGGTGATGTGGCTGCCAGGGTGGCACATCCCAGGCACCGAGCCCAGGGTTCTGCACACCCAGGACACCACAGTGCCTCAACTCTGCACTGGGAGGGGGCATGGGCAGGAGAAGGTGCTCCAGCCAGACCTGGACAACCAGCCCTGCAGGCAGGAGCAGCAGGAGCCACAACAGCAGCTCCCCTGCCCAGGCCTCACCTACCTTTGAAGAAG